GCACTCTCCCGCTCTGCTTCTTCCACTCGTACTGCATGATACTGCTGCTGTTGTTGCTGCTGCTGCTTCTCTTCACTTGCAACGGCAATTTTATTTTAATTCCATTTTAAATTCCCGCTCGATGTGTCTCCATTACAGACTCATATTTTGTATTTTTATTTATTTGCCTGTCAGCGGCGTTCAGCTGTTTTGTTGCTTCTTTGTCAGAAATTTGGAAAAAAAAATAAAAGAGAAAAAATCACTCTTACGCAGAGTCGCGTGTTTGATGGCGGCGGGCGGTTTCATTGACTTGTTGGGATCAAAAATGATTTCGAACCTGTTGTCAATTAAGAATTGCTGAGATGCCACGCGAATGTGGACAAGTGACACTTGAAGTTGTTTACATAACACAAAGTATCTATCAAAAATCGAAGGCGGTCTAAATAGTTGCAAGGGATAAAAGGAAATATCGAATTAAGTTGTAGAAACCTCATAACTGTATGGAATGAAGTTAAAAATTGATTTGAGGAAACTTAACGAGGGCAGAGTGAAGAGCCCAGTTTCCCTTTTTTCTACAACTTACCTTTAGTCATTTACTTCAATCGATATTCCACACTTGGTTCGGGTCAGTCGTGCTTCATCCATCGCCATACAGCCACTACAAAAGTTTCATTCAGATTTCCCTTTAAAGGTGTCATGATTTGTGAGCCTCTCTAAGGCCCACCGGCTCTTAAACTAAAATCTGTATAGCTAAACGACGATAAGAAGCTAAATAGACGAAGTTTAGATGTAGCTATAAAACAACCTAGATTCTTCAACCTCTCTGCTGATTTCAATTTGTTGGTAATAAAATTGAAGGTGTCATAATTGAGGTTAATGCCAGTAAAGAGCGCTGGCGATATCCTTGGCATGTTTCTCTTCGGGGTTCTTCATGGACTATCAATAAAACTAAGGGTATTCTAGTCAGCCTTATGAGTAGCTCGGAGTTCTTACCGATGTATGCTCGCTGGCTGTCGTATTATTCTTCAAATGAAAAAGAAGTTTTGAGTTTCCAAGTCGTTAGTCTACTCATTTGTACCATTTTATTAAGTGTAACCGTTAGGAGAAGACCTGGTTAAAACTTTTCGGCACAGAGAGTCGATCTTGGTTGTTGTTGTTGTTATTGTAGCCGGAAAATTATTCCCTAAAGTACTTTTTGTGGAATATTGCGGGAGTGACAGTCCTTGGCCGGATAAAAATCCAGGTCGTTCCGGTATAAAGACCCGACAGTCGCGGGAACTATTGGATTTTCTATCTGTTGACCTGATAATGAATAGAGTAGGAACTAAAACCCCACCCTGTTTCATAAGACATGTGATACTCACGACCCTCTGTGACATAATGGCTTTCGGCACTGCACGCTCCTAAGAACAGTTAACACAGCTCTCTATAAGTGTCGGGAACTTTGAACTTTGATAATTTCGATAATGACAAGATTGTTGAGCCGTAACGAGCTGAGAGCAAGTAGACTAAGGCACAGCTTAAGGGGTTATATTCACTTGAAAAATAAAATAAATGCTTTCCTTTTCTGTCATCCGAAAATAAAAAAAAAAAATTATATTATACTGAATGAATATCGTAAGCTTAAAAATCTAAATTATTTTTGAAAGTGGTATTCCTCAAACCAAACTCTACAAGTCCCTCATCGTTCCCATTCTGCTATGTGGTGCGAAAACATGGACGATGACAACATCTGACGAGTCAGCGTTAGGAGTTTTCGAGATAAAGGTTTTGCGTAAGATTTATGGTCCCCTACGACTTTCGAATATTGAATGAATGATGAGCTGTATGAGCGAAATTGACCTAGTTCAGCGAATCAAAAGACGGCGGTTGCGGTCGCTGGGCCATGTAGTTCGGATGAATGCGAAACTCCAGCGTTGAAAGTTTTCGATGCAGTACCCGCCATTGGAAGGAGAGGAAGAGGAAGACCTCCACTCCGTTGGAAAGACCGTTTAGAAGGACCTGGCTATACTTGGTATTTCCAGTTGGTGCCAAACTGGAAAAAGAAGAGACGAATGGCGCATTGTTGTGATTCGGCTATAATCGCGTAAGTAAGTAAGTATGTAAGTATTCCTCCAAATCAATAATTAACAAATTTGTCTCAAAAGGTCATGTGAAAATTTTAACCGATCGGTTCTGTCGTTTCAGAGATTTTTTCCTCACTGACTCTGAAATCAGCGTTTCGAGAAAAACGCTTTTAAAGTTTTGCGAACCTTTTAAACACCAAGCGAGATGTGCGTAATGATACAATCATATCTCCGAGACCATTTGTTGGTTCAACTTCAGATTTTCGGAAAATATTCTCAAATATATATATGTGCATTGGAAAAATTAAAAAAGAAATAAATAAATTTTCAAAAAAGTTACAAGTGGATATAAATCCTTAAAGTAAGCAAATTCGGATGCCCAGAAGGAGGCTCGTTGTAATTACTTACTTTGCCATACAACCATGCTGGAGGTATTTGAAGGTCGAAGTGATATTCTAAAAGCTGAGTTACCTCAGGCACTTAGGAATTTATCTTTATATACAATATATCTACATAATATGCACTTTACATATAGAATCAATGGCTTTAACGTCTCATCTTTCATAGTAACCGGATTGATGAGTTGGGAAAGAGTAGATAATCTGCTAGAGGTAAGGAAATAGAGAGAAATATGAGTTTAGTTCAGCTAGAATTTTAGTGCTTTATTCAGCCAAATCCCCGGTATAGAATTTTTATACATAGGCACGGGTTGACGAACTTTGATTCGGTTGTCATGAAACCCGACGAAGCACCCTATTTATCATGTAGCCAAAGGATAATAAACCTATCCATATATAAATGTTTTAAGCTGGCACGTCGGCCAGACATCCGAATGGTTGGCATTGCGTACTGCCATTCTGAACACAAAATTTCGAATCCTGGTTCGGCCAACATCTAAAATTATGGAAAATTAATTTAGCTAATTGCGGTCGCACCTTAGCAAGGAATTTCAAGCCCACTAAGTGTATTTTTGGCCCGAAACAAAGGCTCCTCACGAAAAGCCATCAGCCGTTCGGAGGCGGCTTAGTCTAAACTGTATAAAGAAACGGCCACTAAATTGGACGCTGCAAAATTACTATAGAAAATCCTTAAACCAAATATATCCCTTTTAGTCGTGATCCAAGGCTTCACACGGGACCCAAAAATTGCTTACGTTTTCAAAGAGGGCGAGAGGGCCGCAGGACTACACGCCATTACACCGCCATTGATATCCAGTTATGGAAAGTATACGCTTAGCTTTTATACTCCCAGATCAATTCATCTCGATTGATCCATCTGTCATTTATGAGCTCCTTCTGAATGCTTGTCCATCGAAGGCTCTCCTCGAGGTTTTAAACTAGTCTTCCTCTGTTGATATTGTACATTTATACTGAACCAAAATAATTCTAGGTGACTTCAGAAATTTTTCAAACTAGCTAAGAGTAACGTTGCAATGGTCTATTTTGAATCTCCTGGGTATGCAGTTATAGTCACTGTGCTATACTCAATTCCTACTCTTGCGCCTATGTTGCGCAGCATGGAAACGTGAGTAGCTCTTGTGCAAGATGCGGTAAACAACCCGTGTGGAGCCTTGGGTTACGGCTAAAAGAGAGAAAGCTTCACTGGACCCACTACGACTTATTCGGCTTAAGGGTCTGCTGAAGTTTGATCACATCGTCTGTTCTCCAGAGGTCTTGTAGGTTGTACGCTGGATTTGGGATCCGCCACTTAGAAATCAGCTCCAATGAAAAAATTTAAAAACAGCCGGAGATGGTGAGCCCAAAATCCCAGTCAGTTACGACAGAAAAAACGTTGCACTACCCGACTATGACGAGGTTCGAATGGCGTTTGCCGATTAAAGAACCACAAAGCGGTATGAGCTGAAAGCTTAACTGCAAAGGTGCATGCATCAACTACTTTGCAGAATTTAGTCAGACGATAGCCTGCTCGACGATTGAAACCTAAGTGTGCTCTTTCCAATCCATAGAAAAGGGGATCCACAGCTTGCGCCAGTTACCGTGTGATAAGCCTCTTTAAAAAGGTCAATTGTTTTGTGTGAGACTGAAGCCCACCGTCAACAAACTGATTGGACCTTATCAGTGTGGCTTCAGACCTGGTAAGTCAGCCATTGACCAGATATTCACCATGCGACAAATCTTGGAAAATACCTGAGAAAAGATTATAGACATCCACCGTCTCTTCGTCGATTTTAAGGCCGCCTTCGACAGCACGAATCGGGTGCTGCCCTTTCGCCACTAGGTCTGAATTTCGTATCCCAGGAAAGCTTTTACGGCTAAGTAAACTGACCTTCAGCAACGCCAGGATCGGGAAAGACCTCTCCAAGCCGTTCGATACCAAACAAAGTTTCACCATCATCATCATCTTCTTTAACTCTCTGCCAGTGAATGATGTTCTTCGAGTCAAACCACCACAGAGGCAGCATAAAGCCTCGAGCTGTCTCAAGAGTATACGCGTGACTGTAGCAACTTAGTTCTGGCCATGCAAAGAGTCCGTGCACGACAGTAACCAAAGCCCATCGACGCAACTCATTTCCGCGACCTCCCGCTGGATAACCTCAATGACTTAGGCTGATCTAGTCTAATACTAGACTAGAACTACAACAGCAACAACAACAACAACAACAACAACAGAAAGGGATTTATGCAGTGCTTACGATATTCATACGAGTTTTTAACAAAGAGCGATAGGGTCTCGACTTCTCAACTTCATCGTTGGTACCGTTGGTACATCAGAAGTTTAAAATGGAATTTTATTCGTGCCTCTTAATCGATGGCTTTGCACCATTCCAGTATTTTTATTTCCACATAGGTTACGAGGGGGCAAAACCTCTTTGGCAGCCCTTACTCTTAGGCGTCTAAGAACGTCAGACCATTAAGCTCTTCTCCTGAATGTCGAAATGTACTCTTAACAATATTTTGGGGGGAAAATCTTTGAAAACAAAAACAAAAATTGTAATTAGCACATATTTTCTTAACTATTTTATTAGCTTTAATTTTAAATACATTTTTTTATGTACATATATATATATATTTATTTCTACAAATTAGGTACAAAATTAGTTTTAATAAATTATTTAATAAATATATGTGTATGTATGTATGCATTAAGTAGTAACAGTTATGCTGAGAGTAGGTAATGTAGATTGATTTATGGTATTCATGTTTGTATGTTGGTATGTATGTATGTATGTATGTATGTATGTATGGATGTGTGCATATGTGACCTTATTTACAAATGATTCAGTGTAGAGTTCTTGCAGGTAAAACTGTTCTCCATTGGTGAGCGAGATGATAGGCGTCTCTTCTCATTTGACTGAGATGAGATTTTCTGCAAAATTCTTCTCAGAGAAGAGAGAATAATATTAAATCTCTACAACGAGAAGTGTGTAGATATGGTATGTGTAGCTGCTGAGTTAAGTGTTCTCATAAGAGAAGTATGAATAGTTTGTGTACTTCATTTAAGCAGAGGTTCATGTCTGGACTAACACACTGCACTAGCGACATCTACAAAAGGTGACAGTGTCTCCGAAATGCACAGTTCACAAGACAGATGTTGCGCGCAGCGTATCAAGAACAATTATGTTATCACGGAAATAGCGGCGCTTGTGCTTTTTCTTCTTCTTCTTTTTGTTTTTCGTACTTCCGCTGTTTTTCTCGTGAACTTTCGTGTGTCGTAGCTCGCGTTATAAATGGCATTTCAATGTGAAATTATTTACAACAAGCGTGTTGTACAATAAATGAGTGCTTTTACTGCTTCATCCAGCCATCATTTGCAATACTTTTCCTGCAGTATATTTTCTGTACCCGATATCACAGCACTTTCGTCGAGCGGACACAATTTCAGCAGCATATCCGGATGCTCCAACGATTCAATTTCTATGTAATCGAGATAAATGCGCGGCGACGAGAGTATACGCCATGTCAGTGGGTTGAGGAAATTCGTTTGATATTCCCAATACACCGAAGCATATGACGCCGGATCGGGCACGGGCTTGCCTATGACCAAAGCGCTATACTCGTAGCCCGGCTCAAAGTACATGGGCTTTTCGGAGAAACGTATATGATCTGCTGGCTTTTTATTATGCTTGCTCGAGTGCAAGCGCACAGAGATGGTGCCAATCTCACCGCCATGCATTGTGCTCTCGTGATGCCCCGATACGCGTACGGTGATTTTGTAGTGTATGCCTGAAGGGAGCATGAAAATAATTACTAAATAATTTATTCGAAACGAATTTCATAAAAAAAAAACTACTTACGACAGAAGGGCTTCTTATCGCCTGTCATCAGATACAGCACCGGTGGCTTATCCGTGCTACGTAATTCGCCCACCGCTTTCAATTCCTTGTAATCCGTATAACTGTGATAGCCCATACGCATACAAAGCAAGCCATTTTCATCACAACGCGAGCAGAGACCCTCTTTAAATGCCTCATACGACTCGCAGGTGATGCCCATGAACGGACACTTATTGGGTATGCTCTCCGTGAAATATTGATAGCTGCGTATGTGGTTGCAGCTGAGGAACTCTTGCATGCTGGAAAGCACAGAATTTTTGCGCCCCTTCATATAGTCCTGCAAACGCACATCACAACCCGGATTATCCGAACCGCCATTGGGAAAGAAATCGACATGCCCCACACGCTGATATATACCCAAACCGCCTTTCATTAGCGGATTTGCATCTGTGTGTATGGCATCGACAAACTCTGCATCGGAACGATCCAAGCGCACAATTGGTTCGGTTTCGGAAAATAGTGGCGCCGCTGGATCCAAACCTGTAATGCGACCGAGTTTCAAGCCGAAGTCCTGTTGCAAGTGATAACCTGCGTAACCAGCCAAATGTGCGCCCAACGAGTGACCGATTATGTGTACATTGCGCAGATCGGTTAAATGGAGCTCCTCCTAAGAAAAAAATCAAAATTAAATTTTTAATAAAATTATTTTCTCATTAAAAATAAATAAAAAAATCGACTTACATAAATCATATGTATCACATGCGCAGTGATGGCGCCCACAAGCCGTATATTGGCGACCGCTTGCACATAAGGTGGATTCGAGCCGCCACCCCAATCGATCAATACAACCGCCGCATTGCCTTCGGGCTCGCTGTGCAGCAGTGTTTTCGCCAGCTCCTTCATCTGCATTATTTTTATAAAGAATAAAAGTAAGTAAAATCAACAATTTTTCATAATTTTCTAGCAACTCACCCATTCGATGTTGCCATTTTCCAAATAACCATGTGAGACTAGAAAAATTTTCCCCGCTGGATTTATGCCCAAATGCGCCACTGCCTCTGGATCATTGAGATCTATGAATTTTGGACTTTTCATATTTCGTTTTGTGTACAGCGTGAAGTGCGGACCGATTTGTGATGGTTTCTGTGGATGTACATTGATCTGTCGCGTCTCTGTCGTCCATGGACCATCCAAGGGAAAGCAGCCGTAGACACCATAGCATTTAACGTCATTCGTAGCTGCAAAGTAAAAGAAAAGTGCCGTTAATATTTGAAATAGAAGTGGGCTAAATTAGGTCAAGTCATGTGAAACACAAAATTTTTTTTAATAATTTTTCTTTCAACAGGCAGCAGCCGGAGTGTGGAAAAGCAAGTGGTCATGCGAAATGACGTTGGAGAGCCTTTTGGTCAACACTTTTTTATGGAATTATAGTGCGGTCGGCAGCTGCAGAAAAATCATCGTGCCTGAGAATGATCGGTAACACTTGAACGCTTCAAACAACATCATCTCCAACGTTTCATGCGATTTCGAATATACCAATGGCAACCGCCTATCTCAAAACAGGTCATACTAAATCAAGTGGAATTAGGGCTGAGCTGACTTTCGGAAGTCTTCTGAACGCGATAATAGAAGCAGGCAATTGAAGCAAAGAACACGGGTTTATCAGCAAACCCGAAATGGTTTTAAAATGAACCGGTTAATGGAGGCTACAGAGTTTACTGCGCTCAACCGGAAATAAGAAAGTCATTCGAGCTGATAAACCGTCGTAGAATTTTGCATGCCAAAATATTTGCAATAAAAGTCGCATTATAGCCTCAAAAAGTACCAGACCCTCACCAAAAAAAGGAGAACACATTTGTATGTAGCATGATCTCAGTGCAAGTGCTAAAAGTCCAGAGAACCCGCTTCAGTTTACTACGCAATGTACCTCGAATTAAAAACAAGAGAAAGTGTCGTGGTATACAGCGCATCTGGTCACCCTATGAACGTAGTATTGACCGTTTGAGACTCCATAAGAAGTCGACCAGATCAACCTTACCTAACCTATTGAATTCCAACTGCGGGTTTGGGGTTCAAAAATAAAACTACTTTGAGGAGTATTTTTGAGATTACAAAAACGATATGAAGTCCGCTGTGTACTTTGTTTCAGAATATAGACCGTTTAGAACTAGTTCGGTTCTAGTTGTGAAAAGATGAACTTACATAAATGGTTGCGTTGAAGTCACTCCGAGTTAGAGCAGAGAAAAAGGTGTTTTTTTTTTAACTAAGCAACGAAAGGAAACTACAATTTCCTTTTCTACATTGAAAATTCTTGCCAAATTTGCTGAGGAGTACTGAGAATTATTGCTCACCTTTGACTAATAAGTAATTAGTAAAATTATTATATACGACTGAATGTCATTTTTATTATCATTTTTATAATTCACACCTAAAATACAAAAGTGATAATTCTCAAAAAGACTTTGAACCGTTGAATAAAGGCGAAATGAGAAATGCGAAATGCGGTTCTTAGCAAATAAACCAAAGTTTAATGCATTAAAATTATAAATTTTATTTTAAACATATACCGTATGTAAGTATATGCTTTTATAATACTAATTCACACATATATATGTATGTATTTTATATATCTAATAAAGTTTATAAACAAATTCTTTTTTTTTTTGTATTTTTTACATCTCTTTCTGCTTCGAAAACGCAACTTGCAAATCTGCATATAAACATATGTATACGAGTATATACATATGTATAAATATATGTGTATATTATGAATGACTTAATTTAAACATTGTATAAGTATGTATGAATATGCAATTCAGTTTTAATCACTTTTGTTTCCCTCACTTAGCACTATTCCACTTATGCTCACTATCACTTGAATGATTTTCATACTCTTGGACACTCGTTTAGTATTTTAAAAAACTACACTACAAACATCTATATGTAAGTTAGTAAATTTGCACGCAACTATTTTCAAAAAGTAAGGGAATTTTTTATGTACAAATATTGCTTATCAATAGGTTTTTGCACTCTTTGAACTCCATCGACTGTCTCAGAGGAACTGCCAGTGACAGCAATATGGTGTAACTTATACGAGTACACACATTTATGCACACATGTTTATATATATATTATTATTTATAAATATATAATATTTTATACGACATCCATCGGTATTTGCAATATTTTATAGCGTAAATTTTCGCTTTATTATAATTTTATTATTATTATTTGCTTTTGTTATTGATTTAATTGATTTCGTAGGCGGCTGGCAACAATAGTATTTAGTATTTTTATTCAATTGACTTTGGAGATAAAGCAATGATTATTATTATTTATTTATTTTTTTGGGTTATAAGGTTTCAACCGGAAAGCTTCCCTTTGATTTCCATTCAAATTCTCATAGTAATACTAGGTGTTTTTACGTCACACAACTTTTTATTTTATTTTTTGCCTTATAGTAATGAGTTTTCTTGGTAGTGCAAAAATTATTTAATTTGAAAAGCTACATTGAGGTGAAGCCAGCCAGATAGAGTAAAACAAAACAAAAATATATAGTAAAATAAATATGAAAATAAAGTAAATTAAATAAAAATTAAAAGATAATGAACATAAAATAGAATCAATAAAAATTGCAAATGAAATAAAGGTAAATAAATTAGAAAGTCAAGTATACAAGTATTATATAATATTAAAAAAATAAAATAATGTATAACAATTCAAAATTAAATAAATTTAATAAATAACATAATATTAAGCAAAGTCAAATAAAATAAAGCAGAAATAGACTAAATAATAGTGTTAAATAAAATAACATAAAACCATATAAAAATCAATGAAATAAAAAAAAATAAATAAATATAACAAGTGACTGAAAAGAAATCATGTTAAATTAAAATAAAATAAAAAAAGCTTAAAGAATATAGAAAATAAACTAAATAATAAAAAAATAATATGAAGAATAAAATATGATAAAAAAATGGAAAATAAAAAAATTAAATTAAATAAAATGAAGCCAATTAATATAAATAAATTTTACATATTTTAATTTAAAACCAGAAAAGAAATACATTTAAAACAAAATTATATTAAATTAATAAAACACATGAAAATAATAAAATAAATTATTATAATGAAAAATAAACTGTTAAATTGAGTTAATTAAATTCGATTAAAAGGAAAGAAAAATAATAGAAAGGAAATAAAATATATTAAAGTAAATAAAAGTAAATTAAACTAAGAAAACCAAAAAAATAAAGGAAAATAAAATATTTTCAATTAAAATAAAATGATTTAAAATACAGTAAAATAACGAAAATTAAAATTAATGAATTAAAATAAAACAAAATAAAATGAAATAAAAAATTAAATTCTAAAATAAAAGAAAACTATATTAAATAAAAAAATTATTTAATATAAAACAAAAGAAAATGAGATAAAAACAATAAAACATAAAATATGAAAACTAAAATAAAATAATATTAAAAAAGTAAAATAAAAGGAGAGAAAATGAAATTATATAAAGCTGAATATATAATATAAAAAAAATTTTAACATTAGTTCATTAAAATGAAATAAGATAAACTAAAACAAAATAAATTAAAAAAATAAAAAGGCAATAAAATTAAATTAAACTGAAAAAAGTAAAAACAAAATAAATGTAAACTAAATTATATTAAGTAAGACAGATTAAAATAATAAAATAAAATAAAAAATAAAATAAACTAAAATTAAAATAAAATAATATAAAATAAACTGAAGTAAAAGTAAGATAACATAAAATAAAATAAAATAATAAATGATATAATAAGAGAAACTAAAATAAAATAAAGAAAATTAATATAAATTAAATTTAAATAAAATGAATTAAAATAAGTTTAATAAAATGAAACTAATTTAATTAATACAAAAAAAACTTCTTAAAAAATGAAATAAATTATAAAAGAAAATAACATTAAATTAATAAATAAATTATAATAAAGCAAAATGAAATACAAATATGAAACATAAAAAATAAATAAAAAAGCAAAGTAAAAGAAAAGAAAATGAAATTATAGTAAATAATATAAAATAAAATTAAACATAAGTACACATAACATAGAATAAGATAAACTAAAATAAAATAATATTAAATTTATAAAATAAAATAAAATAATTAATGAAAGTAAATAAAACTAAAATAAGTAAAACAAAATTAAATAAAATACAAATTAACTAAATTATATTAAGTAAAACATTAACATAATAAAAAAATAAAAAAATTAAACATAAAATATAGTACTCTAAAATTAAATAAAATAAATAGAATTAAAATAAAATAAATTAAAGTTTTTAGTATTACTAATAATTTAAATTTAAATAAGATAAAAGAACCTAAAATAAAGTAAAGTAAAATAAATAAAATGAATCAAAGCTAGGTAAAGTAACAAAAAATAAAATAAATTTAATTAAAATGAAAAAACAAAAAAAAAGATAAATAAATAAAGAAATAAGAAAATAAAAGTAAGCCGAGTTATATTACACATAATTAAAATAAATAAAAATCTCAATTACATCAAATGAAAATAATTAATAATCAAGTAAAAAAAATAATGAAATTATAATAAAATGAAAAATAAATAATAAAATAAAAATGAATAAAAAAATAAAAATTAAAGTGAATAGAAAAAATTATTAAAAAATTAAAATATAAAATTAAATGGTATTAAATAAAACAAATCATAATTAAACCAAAATGAAAAACCTACACTAAGTTATAGAAAACCAAATAGAACCAATGATTGACTTTATGGAATATTTACTTAAAAAAAAAAATGTTTATCTCCAGTGTTTTTAAAAAGTTCACAATTATAGTAAGCCAAACTAAATTAATGCATCAAAGTGAAAACCTTGCTCAAATGTCATTTTCTATATGATAATTTCAGGTAAATATTTACATAAATAAGAAAACCTCCAAATTTAAGCGGTTGATTGAACAGAGCGTCTTTACCAATATACAAATATACATTATGTTTACATATATAAATGCCTTTAAACATTATCCACCAAAGCACTGAAAGTTGTCTAGTGCGGCTACATACATACATATATTAAATATTTGTGCACCAAAACACAAATATTAAAAACCAAATTAATAAATAAAAAAATCAACCGAAAACCTGTACGCGTATATTATTTAGTAAATATGTAAATATGTAAAAATGTGTATGTGCGCGAATATGTAAAGCCAACCATTAACTAGTTTACATATTACCAAATATTTGATTGAACCTTCTAAAGCCATTGCAGCTTGACCACCATGCCCGCACTAACAAGGCACCGCCGAGCACCGTTGGCAAGCGGAAGGCAAATAGGAAATAAGAGAATTAAAAAATGAGATAAAATAAAAAAATAAAAATACAAATAAAATTGAATGGCAAGAGAACCAAAACCATAATGGGCGGCTAGTTAGGCAGACAAGTCTATTGCATTATTTTGACTGCATTTTTAGACTAGTTTTTCCACTATTTCGCTTCTAGAAGTTACACAGTTACCATCTTGCGTAAGAGCATGTCATTTCCGAATCGCTTCAACGCATGGAGATTGCATTGATTAGTTATTGCTTGCATTTGGTTAGTTCTTAAGAAACGCGTTTGAGCAAAAGATTGTTTTTATTTTGGCGTTTATGTATTGCATAATTTTTATTATGCAAGTGTAATTATTTGTAGCAACTAGTTACACAACTAGTTCTTTTTACAACTAGTTGAGATACTAATATTTGCCATATTTTTTGGGAACTCTCATTATCATTTTTAAGGATGAAATTTGTAGCGTTGAGTTTATCAATATTTCGGACTAGTTATGGACTGGTTCATAAGAAGACGGTAAAAATTATGAACAAGAAATTCTCTCAATAACAAACGATATAACTGAAAAAAAAGATATTTTGAATTAATTGGAGTAAAAAAAAATTATTTTAATTTTATTTCTTTCTGAAACGAGCGTAATCGAAAATAAAATATTGGTATTTATTTCACTAAAGACTAACTCAGAGTTAAGTTAGGAAATAAATATACGTATATATGTATGTAATTACAAAAAACTGTTAACAATTATAAGATATCTTATTAAAAAACAGTTTTCACATTTTAACTAGTAGCAAATTGGTATTACATGGAAGTAGTCTTATGGAAATATAATTATAACTGTTCATAAACATTTTAGGGAATAGATGTAAAATGTGATTTCATCACGTATATTTCAACAGCATACAAGAATTAGTATTAAATTTTGAAGAAAATATACTTTAACTCTTAGAAAAAACATTTGGCAACTCTGTTCATAGCATAGAACTAGTATCTAGGTCACAAGTTAAATGCAGGAAATATTACAATTCTATAAAAAATTGTGCAGAAAATATTTGAATTTGTAGGCTCATCCATTAGTAACTAGTTCGTAACTAGAGAATAGCATATATTTTATTATTTAAATATTTCAAGAATGCATTTACCTATGAAAATGCATGTCTACATATAGTTGAAATAACATCTTTAATAGTTTTTGTGCCTAAAAAAACTATAAAATTTGCTTTTTTCGTCAGATAATGCCGACATATAACTAGTTTGCAACTAGTTTGCTTATGATGAAATCATAAAACGTCTTAAACATTTACTTCATATTATTAAATTCGCCAAAAGTTGTTTATATCAGCTATGTTCCAATTGTAGCTAGTTTGGAACTAGTTTGTAAATAGCTAAATGCATAAAAAAAAATTAAATTTTAATTATTTAAAGAAATTTGAAATGAAAACTACTTAAGAGCTTTATTATTATCTAAGTGCTTTTGAAAAAAAATAGAAATTATTTATTACATTCATTAACTAATTTCTATTTACAACTTTCTAGAATGTTGGTTTGGTATTGAATTAAGCGCAATAGATTTTTATTGATTTATTCGTCACTTCAAAGCATTTTTCATAGCAAAATTATTGCACCATTAGCTTATTTTCTCTACATGGCATTAAAAGAATTTTCACTCAACACGCCACAACACGCCACCTGTCGATCGCGCCACTTGCCACCAACACTTTTACACACATACAGCCAGACAGACAATCAGACAAATGGACAAACAGACACATTAGTCTTGAATCATGTTTACACACTTACCACTCTTCTGCGCCGGTGGCAGATCGACCAATGTATTCACTGCCGCTCTACTCGTCTGATTCGCCAAATAGAGCATCGTCTGTAGCATCAGACCACCGGTGGAATTTGAAATATACATTTTTGATGGAAATTATTGCAACAGCAATTAAATTTGCAATTACTGCTATTTTCCTTCACAGAATACAAATTGTCTCTTTACAACCGTAGAAATGTTGAATTTTTTTTTAATTGTACTTTGTGTTTTTAACAGTATCTTTTCTGATGATTATTATTATTACTATTATTATGAATGTGTCACACAATAAACACTTTTCATAAATAGTCAACGAATTATTATTATTGCAGAAGAAGCATCACAGTTTTATTTTCACTTTAGACATTGGAATTTTTTTTTTTTTAATTGTATTCAGTCACTTTGTAATGTTTTCCAGCGAAGTTCACACTTTTTACGTTTCTTCTGTCTTAATTATTCTCGTTCTTTAATTAATCTTTACACACTTCCACTTTCTTCTTCACTTTTCACTTTTGATCGACGTGTGTATGGTTCGTTTTCTCACCGTTCACTCTGTAGCTCTCAAAAACTCATCTGTTTAGTTTGAAAAACGCTGCAATACTGAAACGAGTCCGCAACGTTGCGGCACTTTTATTGATACTTGCCGGCGTGCGTACCGTGACGCGCTTAATCTTCCGCAGCGAAATCAAGTCGAGCCGATCGATTGTTAACGATCATCAGCTCGCTAGCGAGTTAGCCAAGCAGTCGCTCTGTCAAAGACGGCCACTGGGTATGAGTGGAGCCGAGAGAAAAAAAATGAAAAAACAAAAACAAATTAGAAGTAAAAATAATGTGTGGTAATCAATCGCCTGTCTATTCTTTGCTTAATCGGATTTGTTCTTCGGCTATAACGTTGATTGATTGCGAGTTGCTGATGCTTGAGGGTGGAGGGAAGCTTTTAGAGCGGAAGAGGGTTGAGTGCTCATAGCTCTTTTAATTTCTCAGTGCATTACTTTACATTGCAATGCTACAGTTTGTAGGTATATATTATTATATATGTACATACTCACATATGTATATACATACTTAGTTGCGCTATCGACTGATCTTGATTCTAGCTGTGTCGTACAGATCTCCTCTCAAGTAGTGGCAGGCATTGCGTACGAAGTCTTACGCATAAATCAATTTAAAAATGTAAAATTAATATTTGCCTATGTATACATACATACATACATATATATACTTATTTACACATTGTGTTCACATAAATATTTGCACGCATTAATTTTGTAATTACTTTGTCTATATGAGGAAGCTTCGAGAATAACGAATGCAAGTCTCGAATATGAATAAAGGAAAATGTAAAAATATGATTACATTTACATATGCTCATATCTACTTACATATGTACATTTATGTGTCAATAATTGACATATATGTATGTATACGCATACTTCTTGATCTGCTGGCGCTCAGGGAGGCAAAAAAATGCATTGATGCTGAAATTATTTCTAGTCTTTGTAGGTTTTTGAAATGAGTTTTTATGGGAATTTATTTTCTTATTATGCTTTTATCGTCTATCTTAGTCTTCTTGTCAAACTTAGATTTCATTCCGATCGCAATGAAAACTTAATCTTGCCGTAAAATTCTCTTCTATGAGGACCGATCGGGTTTTAACCAAGTTTTGCTCTTATGATCTATGCCTTGGATGCGGAGCCTGGCCTAAGTCATTGACCACATTACGCTGACAGAAAGTTTAGAAATACTTCAGGCGAGCAATAAATATTTTAAGCCAAACACATGCCGAGAACATCGGAATTGTAGCTCTACAGCAAAGAAGGTCCCCAAAAAATGAGCACTTAAGGGGCACACCTAGTGTAATGGCCTAAAAAAAGGTGATTTTTAGGAATTTTTATTAAAAAAATACTTTATCAATTATTTCAAAACTTTAAGAATATATTTAAACATGTTTCAAGAATATACAGTGAAATTTTTGAAGAAAAAAATTAAATATTTTTTAAGTTATAGTCGATCTTCGACGGCGCGAAAAAAAGGTCCTTCACTGCTGAAGGGTTTCCGGGCATCTCCGAGGATGAAATATAAAAAAAAAATCTCTACTATTAAGAACAATGACCTACGACAAAAAAAAATCAAAAATTTACAATATGGCGGCGTTTAAAAAAAAATATTACCCAAAATTTTAGTTGTTTTTGGCCTGTCAAAATTCGATTTTTTGATCAGATCAAAAATCGATGGCTCATTGTACGGGGAACTATATATAGAACTTGTAAAAAAAACTCCCTAGTGATCGGATCATTTGTTTTTGAGTAATCACTGTAGCAAATTCGAGAAAAACGTGTTCAAAGATAAGATTATCGTTTTCACTGGGACTGTAATGAGGCTTTCTAGTTGCCGAGCGGCTGCTCCCTAAATTTCTATAACTCAAAACCTATTTGAGATATCGATTTGAAATTTTAATATGTTTTTTTTAAAGGTGTAATCTACCGAAATATAAAAAAAAATCGATTTTTTTTTTTAAATTAGCACTAGGTGTGCCCCTTAAAGGGTTACATAGGTCTTGAAACTTCAAAAAATTCATTTTTTTGATAATTTTGAATTATGAAAATACAAAATGTCAGCAATATTTTCCCCAAGTTTCAAGTCATTCGAGACGAAACTTTAGAAATTAGAGAGTTTTATAACCTGCCGTCTTTGTCATGGCTTGACCGATGGCGAAACTTTAACGCGTTTTTCTCAAAACCACCCTATCAAAATCGGTAGTCAAAATTTCTCAACGACTATTGAAGCGATCGAGTTCAAATTTTCCACACTCCTTTTAAGCATGTTTTTGTTGTCCCTTAACGAAGCATTTATTTTACCATTGATTTCAACTCATTTTACAAGCCAATATGTGGCCTTCAAGACCTATGTAACCCCTCAATACAGATCATCAAAAATGAAATACCCAAAGATACCTTTTGGATGAGTTGTTATTGTTATAGCGGCTTCATAACGACTCGTCGAAGTTAATTATTGAAACCAACTGTTTCGACGAATCCGAACCACAGGGAGAGGGGTATTAGGAAAATTGGTTTTGGGTGCCATCCAAAGAGGTATTTAGTATAGAGTGTAGACTGAATGCTCTTCATAAATAAATGGAATCGTTATTGGGATCGAGTCTTAACACGCAGAGGTTAAGCCTCATATATGTCCAAGAGGCATTAATTTTTCCGGAACCTCGTTAAGATTAGTGTGATCAGTGATCACAAAAGTTCTATGGAGTCTCTGCGTTAAGTTAATAGTGATTTACCCAGCACAAGAAAGTTGCTCAGCTCGGAGAGCCTTCCCTTCGGCGAATAACAACATAAGTCTTATGTACAACAAAACAAAACGATTGCCCGATCTTATTAAGACTCACGCAATTCGATGAAAAATATAGTCGAATATGTGAACGGGAATCACGTATCTCTTTTTTCAAAAGATAGCTCAAAAATTATAGCTGAAATCCAAATATCTTGGAGACATCCAGGAAGAGTCTCCTCTATATTAAGTTAGCAAAGATGTACTCAGATGTAGTATATAGCTCTTTCGGATGTTTTATCCAAAAACAAATATATCTTGGTCTTCCTAAGTCCTTCGTTCTCAGTTCGCGCTCCTTCGAGATGACACTAGACGAAGCTTTTGCATCTTTAAATAATAAACGAAATGTCTTAGTGAAGATATTTACCTCTATAATAATGGGTCTAAATGCGAAAATTTCTCTGTGTTCACGCCAACATCCAAGGCAGTTTAAACTCAATGACTTTGTCTTCCAAGCAGATATTTTGGGCACAACTGAAAGTGAGGAAGGGGTAGGCACTTTTAAGTGGGGAATATATTAGGTTTCTGTTAGGCAGCGGCAGTCAAAGCAAGGGTCAATTGTGAGAAAGAGCAAGTAAAAAATAATTAACAAACTAGGTGATTGTATAATGCGAACGATGCTGTCACCATCGACTCCCTCCGAGCCTTCAGTACTGCCGAACGTTATATAAATCAGTGGACTAAGGAGAAACACTTAAGCGCTTGCAGCATATCTACCGCAGGACGAACCACTAAATTTTTTTTGGGGCAGCGCGGATGGTACATAAATCAAACTGTGTCATGCATTTGTGTAAAGGCGGGTGATGTAATGACGGATCATCTAGTACTGAGGTATCATCTCCACAAGTAAAGCAGAACTGACCGAGTGCAAAGCGAGCACATAAGATGACGAAACACTGGAGCTCTACCTTGCCAATGTTCGACCTACAACCAATTGATATGTTGCTTCTTTAACGATGCACACAGCGCCAGTCTTCTGTAGGTAGGTATGCATGGTTAGAAGAAACTAAGATAGTCCATAAAATCGAGACAACTGTTGGTAAACTCATAGTTGGAATACGCAAGATAGTACAATGAGCCTTAGATGGAGCCGCTGGCGGTCAGGTCCTCAAACTCTCTTTTCAACCAAATAACCGCACAAAATGTCTCAATATTGAGAACTTTCTCTTAATATACCAAAAACTTCGTCTCTTAGAGTATCAAATAGTCAACGGCGAGAGCTCTGCTCTATCGTTAATACAACCCTATAATATTATATATGAATAAAATCATTATAAGAGTTTTAAGGTTAACTCCCAAGAAGGGTAGCCTATTTTTCCAACCTTTGAGGGGAATCCCATCAGTTCTTCATTTCTGATGAGATTTTTAAATCTATCTAATCTAATTTTTAATGAGCTACAGGCTTTATGAATGGGTAGAGGAGGTTTTACTATTGCTTTTATATAATATTAAGCAAAGTAAGTTCATAAAAAGTTATTATAGCTGATCTAAACTCTTCTTCTGATTTCATTGCTACGTACCTTTGAATAATCTCAGCTTAAGAAGGGGAATACGAGTACCTTATCGAACCAATTATTTGAAAAAAAATTATTAAATAATAGCTCCACATTAGAGCTTCTTTCATTCTTAGAAACTCCGCTCAGCGGGCTGCTCTTAACTCCGAGTCCCCTCTAAAAATCCGCATACTTTCGTACAATAACACTCATTAGCCCAGCCGTTCGCAGTTAACAACCCAAAATACTTGTTGTTGCCACCTTATCAACGTC